TCGGCGCGTCGGGGCTCCCCCTGCGCTGCGGAGGCTGCCGAGCCGCTGCGCGCCCTCCCGGACGCCTCGCGCCTCCCGGGGGTTTATCCAAGGAAAGTTTGTAGGGCCGCGTTGCTGCTCCTCATGGCTCACCGCGCGCTCGCGGCCGGGCAGGTCGCAGTGCCTGGTGGCACGTTCAGTTCCTCACCTGTGTGACTGCAGGAAGCGGCGCAGGCCATGACGTGTCCCCAGGCACGGGTGGGGTGACCTGATTTCTGCTGTGCGGGCTGGGGTTCCTATCTGGCTGTGCGGGGCCGTGGGAGAGGAGGCGACGGTGCCCATGCAGCAAGCAGGGCCTACCTGAGCCATGCAGCTCCCCCCGGCCGGCACTGCCCTTTGCTCTCCTCTTGAGCATGCCCTTGCGTTGCCATTTCCAGCATCTCAAATTCTCCTGTGCCTGCCTCAGTTACGGGATAAGGAAATTTGGGGTGCTTCTTCAGCCTGTCCTCTTTTGAATGACAACTCTGTCTAAAATTAGGTTTGCACACATTTATCGTAAGCTTTCACTGCTTGCTTTTGCCCAGTGACGCAGGCAGGGTGCAGTTATGCCAGTAATAAAATCTTATCAGGGCGAATGCTCTTGGAGCGACGCCGTTGGCGTGAGCTGGAGCCTTGATGTGGCTCTATGGGGCAGCGAGGGCAGGCGGTGCCGTGCTGGGAGCAGAGCTTGGCCAGGGCAGGACATGGCCACAAAGCAAACGGATTTGTAACTGGGTCACTCGCTTTGGAAGTGCCCTGAAGTTGGGTTCAAATCCATAGACAGCAGAGGGGAGTGCTGGCTTGAACGATGCTTCAGCGAAGTGCGGGAATTACAAAGACAAACTCTATCCAGGCTTGGGAAAATCCACGCTGCAAAGAGGGTCCTTCTCAGCCTGCCCGTTGGTGGCATTCTGGGGTTGGAGTAGGGAAATGTGGGTCACGCTCGCAATGTGGGAGGGACCCTGACTTGGCACGTGGGGCCAGGCCGGGACTACGGTGCCTCCCTGGAGCAGTGAGGGCTGTGGGGCTCCTCAGCACCGAACCAGCTGCCTAGGCCCCATTCTTCCGGTTCCCTGATTACCAGATCGCTTAGAAACACTTACTATTACTTTTTTCTCCACTTTAATGAAATCTCAGATTTGTGGGGATAACGCAAAACAGCGTGAGTGGTGGATTTATGTCCTGGCTGAGACTTCATATTGAAGCCGTGGGTTTTCATGGAAGGACTTGTGAGGTTTTATTGTTACAACAGACAAGATGCTATCTTTTTATATAATTAGCTATCTAAATTGCCCTGTCTCTAGCTAATACTTCTTGGTGTTCTGCACTCTCTTTGTAATTTTAGTTTGTTTCCCAGGGGATTTATTTTTGAAATTAATTGGAAAGTGTCTTTTCCTGTGGTCTTTTTTCATGTCCTAAAATAGCACACCTAAAAATACTCTCAAACTTCCTGAAAACCTGTCCAGTGTTTTAGTAAGTTCCCAAATTCATGCTTAAAGAACTGAGCTCTGCTTATCTGTAACATCCTAATGGGGTTTTGTTGATTACATTGATATTTTGAAGTAAAAGGAACAGAAGAAAAAAAGAAAAAAAGAAAAAAAAAAAAAAACTTAGTCCTCTGTGGGGACTTGCCTGATTTTTTTTTTCCTCCCTCTTCCATTTCCTATATGCTTTATCATCTCTTGAAATGATTTTTTTTGTTTGTTTGTGAAAGAGTACAGCTCGTATTTGCTATGCAGTTGTATATACCTTAGCTGTTTGGGCTGCTTCAGACCAGAATAATGTTTACAAGCTGCCCGGCCCCGTTTAATGGTTGGGTTCTTGCTTGTGTCTCAGAGGAAGAGACTACCTACTAGCAAAGGAAGGTGATGGCAACAGAAATGGAAAAGGTAGATAAAGCTGCACATCCGTCTCGGGTGGGCTGTAACCCTAGGAATTTGGAGAGTTCTTGGCTCCGCACTGGTGAAAGCTCTGCTTTTATGCAATGAGGCATGGGGTAATTTTGAAACAGGCTTGCTCTAGAGCTCCTGTGGGTCCCACAGGAGTCTGGTCTTTAAAGTTCCCATGCAAAATTGCTTTTTTTCTCCATGGATGTCCATGGAAAATGCACATTTAGATCGTCTGCAGGAGTGAGAAGGATTGATCAGACCTCTTTCTGGGGAAACACTTGATACTAGTGGAGGTGGCTTGAGGGGATGTGCCTGGTGGTGCAGGGCACGCTGAGCACCAGTGTGAGCAGGCGGCCGGGCCACGGCTGGTGGCACTGGTGACAGGGGCTTCACATCTCGCTGCTTCCCGGCGCGCAGCTGGAACAGCCATCCTTGGGGAGGCCGTGGGCCTCGCAGCGAGGAGCTGCTGGAGGCCCGGGATTAGTGCCAGGTTAAACACTGACCGCTTCGTTACTCTGCTCAGCGTCTTAGGCCATTAGTTCAGATATCAAGCAGAAGGGTAAAAGCTCATCTGCTGTCGTTCTTCTTCTCTGGATCTCTGGAGCACAGAGGAGGCTTATGGGCATGGAGCCAGGGGAAATCTGCTCTCCCTGGAAATCCTTTGGGCATCCCGTTCCTTCACTGCAGCTCGTGCATGTGTTCTGCAGGGAACGTCTATGGGTTGCACGGGCGGTAGAAGATGACTATTGCTCACCATGACCTCGCAGGCAAGTAAATCTGAGGCTTAGGATGGACAGCTAGTGTTGTCTAAACATGAGAAACTACATCGGGTTTAATTATTTCTTAATTTAAAATAATTCCTATATAATAGGCCTTCATAATATTTCAGTATAGTCAGCCACTCTGTCTTCCTTTTCCAAAGTAAACAACTTGGCCATTTAGGCCATAATTTGCCCCGATTCTCACAGCATCGTTTGCCCTCATCCGTAGATCCTGCAGTTATCTAATCCTTACCTGACACCCCCCAATACTTTCAGGTGTCAGCACCTTGGCGTATCCCTCAACATTTCAGTCTAATCCTTGGGAATTAGAACACAATTAAGCAAACATATTCTTCTCCTGCAAAATAGGGAGGGAGGAAGGAAACTTTTCTTTCTGCCCATCCCTCTTCTGCCTCATTCCTGCCCTGTTACTTCCTTATTGCACAAACCAGCCAGCTGCAGCAGGATCGCAGGAGGATGCGAACACGTGCCAGCCTCATTGGGGCACCGTGGGCTTGACCCAGGGCAGTTTGACTGGACACAGGAGCAGCCTTCTGAGCGCTGGCCCCAAAGCCAATACGTGCAGCCCCACCGAGGCTGGTGCCACGCAGCTCTGTGGTGGGAATGGAGAGCACCAGCTCCAGAAGTGAAAGCGGGGGAGCTTCATGAAGGGGATGGCTTTCCATAAGGGATGCTGTGCAAATAAAGGCAACAGTGTTGTCCTTCGTGTCCAGGGTGTAGGTGCTTGTTGTGAATTCTAAACACTTATGTTTTTTTTCTTCTTTTTAAGAAGACTTCCTTTAGAAAGATGACTTAACCACTTTTTTTTTTTCCCCTCTTCTTTCGCTCTTCCTATTAATTGCGTAAACAAGTGCTCTGTCACTTCTGGTCTTATTCTGCTCCACTTTATACTCGTCAGTGTTCGAGGTCTGTTTGTGCCCCAAACAGCTCAGCAGGTTCTGAGGTCTATTTGTGTCCCCTTGCTAGGAGGAGGAGGCCTCACTGTGTTCCTGCAAGGGCAGTGGACAGTGACGTAGCCTGTAGTGCCACCTACCACCTATCGGGCTAGAAAGGAAGCCTGTCTGCAATCAAGATGAAAAAATAATAAACTTCAGGGACAAAATGAAGTCTCTGAAGTGTGTGCTGGACCGTCAGAGCTGCAGTGTGCTGGCTATGCTGAGCAGTCTTGCACGTGTGCATATCTGTCCCAGCCCACCACCTTTTCATGCTCAAGTAGCTCATTTTGCTTTTCTTTGGTGCTTTGAATGATTTAAGGAACCACGGGCAGAAGCCCTCCGGCTTGGTGAGGCTCCTGGCTGAAAGGGCCATCCATGGAGGACCGTCGTGAAGCTGCCCGCTGGGGCCTGGCACGGGGTCCGTCCTCTGCCGGCTGCCTTGGGGCTTTCTGTCTCTCTTTTTTTTTTTTT